CTAAGCATCTAAACAATCTGACTAGCACAGTTTTATCGATAAGTTTGCATTTTCATTTTAGTGTCTGATTGTAGGTTGTGGGATCGGGTAATTTTCGAGTTACGCGCTTCGAGTTACGCACTTTTCGAGTCACGCGCTTTTCGAGTTACGCGCTCGACCACGCCCAAATTTGCCTCGGTCACGCCCAGCGCATTACTCGATGTAACTAACATACATTAGTGTCTTCGAGTTACGCGCTTTTAAATCAAAATCAGTATAAAAAACTCGATGCCAATGCAATCTATGTACATGTATGCTTTAATTTATAAATAAACAGGATCACGCCATTTCTTCACAAAGTCACGCAACGATAGTGTTTTGTGAATATTTTTCTAAAATTAGAGGTGACTCAACAAGGAAGAGATTGATCAAGATTTTTTGGACGTTAGTATCATCATATGCATGCTATCAATATTAAATGTCAGGTGACTCCCACTTTCTAATCTAAATCGGTATTGAAACAAATCGCAAAGATATTTTAAAATTAAATGGGTTTTCAAAATAAGACTCACTCAATCGTGAGCTGTAAATCTGTACGTGTTATGCACTAATATACCGATTACACTACATGCGTTCAAGCCCCGCTTTATCTACTCGACAAATAAATGTGCATACGTAGGATAATAAACTAATCAGTTGGAAACTAACAAAAACCAAAGAGCATGTACAGGAGGACTTGCCGAGATTTCCCTGCCTTGCAATAATGGCAAATATAAAATGTATTATAAAAAGGAAGATATGGCATTTGTGGTTTTTGTGTGTTTTTATTGCAAGGCATAAACTTATTGGTCTTACACTATTTGTTTCGTGCATTTGAAACAATAGACGAATGCATGAGATGGGACTTTCTTTGCTTGCACACAACATTAATTAACTCAAYTCTTTCAATTCTTGATCCCTTGATCTTACTATGTGATGGAGAGTGGCGCAATCAATAGAAGTTGATCTGTGCAATAATTACCAGGAGGGGGGAGTAAAACCAGAGGTGGGGGGAGCATCACATAAAATTGATGCCAAGATAGGGGGGCTCAAAGTAAAATAACCTAATAACAGAGGGGGAGGACTTATGTTTTATTCAAAACTTTCATTATTTTCTTCATCTTAAATTCAACGTAAATAACAACCATAATTGTAGAAAATGACAAGAACAACTTCAACTGACATTTGATATGATATTGATATTATTTTTTCAGTTTTAAGAAGGATTATCAACAACTCTGATCATTTTTAATCTGCTAGATAAAGCTTGCTAGGTTATCTTTTTTTATGAAAAATCCATTCTGAAACGAAACGTACTAATGGAAATCTAAAGTCAAAGWCTCGTTGATGTGAGATTGAAATTGACCAAGATATGAATTTTTTTCAGCTATTGTTTTTTTCAATGTTATCACATAAATTGAAGATCTAGAAGCTTGAAAACATCTTGAAGATTTATTAGACATAACAAGCACAAGTAACACCAAAGTCGTTTTTGATCATAAAAACCGTTGCACAACGCTTTTTTGGACCTTGAAAACCTTTCCCAGGAACAAATTCATACAAGAACAGTTATTTAGCATAACAGACCCCATCAGCTCCTGAAAGTTTTTGTCTTTACACTTAGGTCCAGATAACTAAGCCACCTCTTGCATCTGGGTTCGTCTTTAGTAAATCTTGCGTTGCTACAGTTGACTCGAATCGCTTGTGCTTGCTTTATAACTAAGGTTGATAGTTTTTTT